AGGGGAAAATGCAGCTGAGCCCCTGCTGCTCCGGCTGGGCTCATCCTGTCCCGAGCGGCACATGGCTCCGCCACCACCTCTCCTCCCTGGTGCTGACTGGGCCGGAGCTGAGGCCCAGCTGCTGCTTCCCCTCCCCAGTGCCAGCCCAGCCCAACCCTACATGGCCCAAGTGGCACGGCATGGGGAAAGCCTGCCCAGCAGCCACTTTGCTGGGCTTACCTGCAGGGCAGGGCCCTTTCCAGTCCTGTGCAGCAAAGCAGAAGGTGGCCCAGACAGTTTCCCCTCACCAGCGCCACAGGTTCTGGCCCAGTCCCCCCGCCCCTCTCAAGCTGCAAACATGGCCTGAGCCAGGGGCGGGGTGAGGCCAGCTGGGTCAGGCTGAGGTCAGGGTTGGTAGCCTCACAACCAGAACCCAAGGAAACAGCCTAAGGTGCTGCAGCCGGTGGCTAGTACTGCTGGAGGCTTTTAGAGAGAGCCTCCAGCAGGAGGTGGCCCCTTCAGCCACCATTACATGGATTTTGAAGGGGCTCCGTGGGCCAGAGGGAAGTGCTTGGCGGGCCAGATCCGGCCCATGGGCCGTATTTTGCCCACCCCTGCTATACAGGATACATAGTATGCAATGTTAAAAGCCAGCTTAACCAGTCTGCAATATAAGCTGGTGCATATCTAGGCATATCATCGCTTTATTCTCAAATGCTGTAAGTGGTGTCATTTTTCAAATGCTGAGCATACTGAAAATCCAATGTATGTTCATGTTGCCCCCTGACCAATCACTGAAGACAGGATCAGAAAGTTTCAATGGACTCCTGACCAACCACCAGGGCTTGCCACACCATTGTTACATACGCTGAATTTCAGAAAGTACTCTGGGCTTCAGAGTTTGAAAAAACACTAGAATAAAAAAATGGAGGTGGGAGCAATGAGAGAAAAATAATATGGGTAAAAATAAGAGGAAGAGGGCAAATTAGAGAGGGAGGGGGAAAAAAGGCAGAAAGGGTTTTATACTCTGCTTCAGCAAACCACGCCTAGTCATCATACCACTTGAGCACATTAAGCATTAACTTCAGTTCCATTACATTTTATTGTAAAATATACATCACATCATGGACAGGAAGAGGAAATTTGATGCAGAGAAGAAAGAAAGTACAGAAGAAGCTATTGGATTTGATAAGATGAACTTAAAAAGATCAGTGTAAGGTGAGGGATGGCTACAGAGAAAAACCAGAAAGCCAGATATCCAAGTGGGAAGGGAAAAAGAGGGAGTTAAGGAAGGAATGCATACAAGAGACCCAGACATAAAGGTGAAGTGGGATTTGGACTTTTAGTTGATGAACAGGTGGCGCTAAGGGAAGAATTTCTGAAGAGAGGAGAAACTATACTATGTCTGAAGAATGATGGGAAGGAGCTAGTCAGAGGGATAAAACAGAACAAAGATGAGAGAGAGGCTAGGATGAAGGAGGACACTCCAGAGGAGACTTCCCGTAGGCTGGTAGAGCAGGAGAAGAGATAGGAGAAGGTGAAAGTTACACCATATGCCATCACTTATTTTTTATAGAACTTGCAAGATTCTGGGTGCACTGGGAGGAGGGGAAGTTTGGGAAGGTAGAGGTCTGTTGGTTTCTGGATGTAAAGTCAAGGAGGAAAGAGACATGAAATAGGCTTGCAAAGACAGCTGGATGAGATTTTGGTTTATTTAATGATATTTAACATACAAGAAAAAAACGTATTTAATTGCTTCAAGACACGTTGGCAGATACTTAAAATATCAAAATAACCTCCCCCCACTCTCCCTAACATCAATGGAACCTTTAACAACAAAGGAAATAGCCAACAAAAGCAAAATAAGAAAAAAATCTCTACCTCAGACAAGCATAGGCTGCAATTTTAAAATAATTTTTTTTCAGCAAACAATATACATTCCGGAACACCAAAAATTCTTGTTAATAGGTATTAAATTGTTCATTTAAAACAAAAAGGCCCCCCAGAAAATGTAAATAATTTAAATAATTTATTTTGATATTTTATACACTTTTATTTTTCACACACAAAATTTCTTTCATTTTACTTTTTAAATTAATAAATATTAATTCTTTCAGTTTGTCAAGATTGAAAGAAAATGTCTTTGAACTGAGTGAAACATTTTATGATGACAAATCAAAGATAAACATTTCATTTTATGTTAAAACTTATTTTTACATCAAACAGCTATTTTAACTTTTCAGTTTTCCAAAATCCTACAAAAACCACAAAAACAATCAAAAGCCAAACATCAAGATCCACACAGTCAACACAACTCATCCCTATCTACGTGTCTCTTCAAATAGATAGGCATTAAGTATGCCTACTGGGAAATTCAAACTATTTTAAAGCAAAGCAGTAAAAGAAAACCCATGCTGAAGCATGGATATAGAAGGTGCCCAGACAAACCTCCCTTACCTATAAACTGAAGGGATTTCAGCTTGAGGACTTCTGTATGCTACTGAGATAGCTGTGAATAGCACAGGGGACAAATGATCTCCTAGGCAGTGAGAAACTAAGCAACGACCCACATGTTCTGTCCCCTCTCACTACCCACTAACAATACTTCCACCTTTCTATGCTACTGGCTAGATACTGATTTTATGTATAACAAATAATCACATTGTTTGGAATAGTTTTTGTGTATTACTTTCAGTACATTACAATAATCTGTTAAGATCCACAAAAGGTAATTAAACATTGCTATATGTTATAAAATTGTTCTGGAATGTTTGAGCATAGAGATCAAGTAGTGAGAATTATAACAAATTTAACACAAAATTATCTTGCTTGTTATCTCTCTCCCTTGTACACCTTAACATTTTTCCTTAATCAATTATTTTTATAGAAGACTTATTATTGGGCTTCCAGATTCAAATACATATTTATTAGTATTAGCCTGCCAAAATCAGGATGAAGGCTTGCTTGTAAATATTTGTTTAAGCTAGAAAGCCCTGATATTTTTCTTATTGCCTCTCAGTCTCCAGACTTCTATCAGCTTTATGCTGCTTTTACCCAATTTCACACTGGGAAATGCTGAAGCTCATAGCTAAGATAGGAAAACATAGGACAATATAAATAAAAGGGCAAAAAACAATGCTTTAAAATGCATGCTTTGTATAGAAAGTTTTTTTGTTTTTCTTTAAGGGGGGGGGGGGGGGGCCCCCCCTCCCCCAAGTTTTTTTTTTTTGTTGTAGAGGGGGGGGGGGGGGGGCGCACCCTCCTCTCCAAAGTTTAGATAATCCAGTACCAGAAAAAAAAATCCATATTTGTTTAAAATCTAAGCACTAGCCTGGTAGGAACAGACACCATAGGTTTTGGGGGGATTATTGTTTGTTTTTGTGGGGGGGTTGTTTGTTCTTTGGGGAGGGTTGTTTTGTCTGGATGCAGTGTACACTTTCCAACTTCCACTTTAATTCTCTTAAAGAACATATGCAAAACATGTAAATCACCATTTGCTTGCCCAGTGGAACAGAATTTCAGTAATCTATGCCAACAGTTGCCTACAGAAGACACCTACATCTGGTCTGCCACATCCAAATAGTAACCACAAGCACAAGCTTTGCTTTGTTTGGAATTCATCGCTACAATGCAGCTGAGCATCGGATAGAAAAACTATCAGCCTCCAGGGTTAAACAGACAAATGTTTTAGTTGCAACAACTTTTTGTGGGAAGGCAAAGCCATAACAATGAATATAGGAGTTTTTATGCAAATCACTAAAGGCCTAGTTTCTTAAATTGAAATAACATCCCTAACTGCTTTAATGAACATTTTCCTGAGCTTAAGGATGTAAAAACAGAATGGATGTGTTGTAATGTGAATTTTACTTCATCAGCTGGAATAAAAAAAAACTTTTAAGAAAATCAGATTTCTAAATGTTTCCATTTAAATCTGAAGGTAAATTAATATTCACCATTCCTGAGAGCAGGATGTTTTACTGGGGAGCAGAGAAGTTGATATATTCATTAAATCAAATATACTTCTGAAATTGCATGTAATTTAATACTTACCTAACCACTCATTGAATTTTTTAACTTCACTAGGAAGTCCCAGCTCAGTAAAATCACCAGCATGTATTAAAACATCTCCATATGGCATTTGGATTGGATCAGTTCTTGAGTGAGTATCAGAAATACAGACAAACCGGGTATATCCTGGAGGCTTGGGAGCATCATGGGGTACAGGATCCACCCTGCAAGAAATGCATCACAACAAGGTTATAAAACAGAATTATGTACATTCCTTTCATTATTTATCTTGCAATTCCCAATACTTTTTTTTTCTCATAAAAGATGGCATAATCTTCAAAATGGTTGTGACAGGAGTCACTTATTAGAACAAAGCAACCCTAGTAAGAAGTGTAAAAAAATTGAAGTTTACACCTCAATTTTTCAATATTTTGCGGTACAGGCATTTAAAGAGACCATGAGAAAAGAAATGGAAAGTACTAGTAATAACTGAAACAAATACTTATGAATAAATTAAAGGTATACCAGTATCAAAGTTAGAGACCATCCTGCATTCATTGTTTAAGTATGATTATAAAGTATGCAGAGAGAAGCTTTATTTAATAGATAGATAGATAGATAGATAGATGTAGATATATGTATATGCATGCATTTTCTATTTATAACATGTGCCTGCAAGTTATATAATTCCAACAAGCTTAATTAGCAGGTTTTTGAGATACATTTTAGTGTGTTAATGTACCAGAAGATAAGAACTCTACTGACAGCAGCTGTAAATGCACATTCAGAACTAACTATTGTCAGGACGAATATGGCAACTTTCTGGGCTTAATTACGCTAAGTAGAATCAGATGCAGTGAGGACTAGTGCTACCTTGTATTTTGTCCAATATTAAAACTCAAAACTGAGAAAAAGAAACCACTTATGAAATTTGCTTGTGATTTAGGAAAAAGAGACTGAGAGAAATCTTCTGCATTAAATATTCTTATTTTCAGCCCACTAAATCCATTCATACTCACCACATATTTCTTTAAAATATAAACCTATAGAAGCATATATACCTAACTGTACCATAGCTCTAATTCCAGTGGGAGAATTCAGGTGGAGCAAAATAGAAACATGTGAAATTAAAAACCTTATTTTTAGCAGTTTTAGCTCAGACAAAATTAAAATTCTATATCAACAATTTAGTTTTTATTTTTTTTTACCTTAAAGAACAAACATCATACATTTAGGTCTTGTTGTAATGTATCATTTTTTCCCTTCCATTTTTCCCACTTGATCTGTTTCCTTTCTTGCTCTAGTTTTTAAATGTTATTTAGGAAAAAAAATTAAAGACTGTTATTATTAATGAGAATAGTCATGTGGCCATCAGGACAATTTTCAGAATACTCTGTGAATTGGGTTAGAATTCTACTGAATTTAAGTTTGACGTATGGATAAGACATTTAACAATTTCACCTACTAGTGGGAGAGTCAGGAACAGAATTTTGTTCAAATTGTTAAACAAAGCTTACAAAATTTCTTAGCAATTTTTAAAATCAATTAAAAAGTAAACATATGCATCAATTCTCTTTGAATTAATTTTTAAAATTTCATTTTAAAGCCATTACATCAATAAGAAGGCACTAACAGCTTGTCACTTCATTTGTACAGTAGGGGTTGGGTTTTTTGTTGGTTTTTTTTGGGGGGGGTGTTAGGTTTTATTAAGAGAGAGAGGCAGGGTTTCACTATTAAATCCAGACAGCAATAACTTTTTAATGATGGTACTGCCCACATGCCTTGTCAGTTTCTCATCAGAACATAAGCCAAAACTGGGGCATGAAACACAAAGGGAAAAATATGAAATCGTATGCTAACCTGATCCTTGGCTGCCCAAATTCTCCCTCATTCTCCAATAAAAAAGTTATTGAGTATCTCTCAAGTATTCCATTTTAATTTAGGGACACTTTTCTATTATAAATGGTAGTTATAAAATGTTTCTCAGGGGTTCACAAGTATTAGCACAAAATAACTGACATGGTCCACACTGCTAGCTCCTTAAATATACTTTAGCCAAACAAAGCCCAGTGCAGCAGTAACTTGTATGTTAAGTAGCAATATACATTTTACATGCTCCTTCTCTGAAGCTGAATACAAATAACCAAACCTACCATGGCAATCCCTGCTGCACACAATAGGTATGCCTTTTCCTCATAGTTCAGAATTTTTGTTCATTTTGAGAAAAGTGTTTTCTGATTCAGCCAGGATATGTGCAGGTTTTCAATATCATACAAAGCGCCAAAGGATTTGTAATGGGTGAATGAAGTTCTTATAAGTAAATAAATAAATAAATAAAAACAAAGAAATGAATGAATAAATACAATTTGGATGAATGTCAGCGGAATGTGCACACATAAAGCTATGTACAGTGAAAATTGTTTTATGACAAATCAGATCTACATTTAAATTTCATTTAGATTGTGTAGAAAAAAATTCTTAACCAGATAATTGTGTGTTTGAATAACACCCTACTCAATGGAGAGCCCCTCTGGTAATCCATGAACTGTCTGCAATGTAAGTGAAAGTAGAGGAATGTCGTCTTTTTATTGTCCAAACACTGTTTTTCTTTAAGTAATGTATACAATTCCATGGAAGCGGAAAAGTAAAGTTAAGTTTTTAGGGCAATAGAACTGATGGAATTTAGTGCAAATGCAGGGCTTCAATGGGATTTTACAAAACAGAAATATTTCCTTGTTTGCAGCCAGTTGCAGGACAGGAACTTCAGACTCTTCAAGGCACCAAGTACCTTGTCAAAGCCTAGAAAAAAAGCTAAAGAAAATAAAATGCAATTGTGGCAATCCTATCACTTCACATTCAGAGGCATGAGACAAAGATGGGCTAGCAAATTCCTGGGTGAGGTTAGAAATACTCATGATGGTAAGACAGAAATTGCAATACAGCCTAAAGGACAACAAAGACCATGTAGCAGTTTGGAGTCAAAAAGAGGCAAAAGGAGTTTAGGGCAATTTTAAAGGCAAGTGACTTTAAATGGGTTTTATACATAACCATTTGTAACATCTCTAAGGATTCAACGAGTTTGTGCACCAATACACAAGATTCTTGCCCCACTAAAGTCAATGGCAATACTCCTCTGTCCTCAGTAATACTCACATGAACAAAAGAGATGCAAGATTACACTTTTCTCTTTTCTGTCACCATTCTCTTAATTTGTAAAATGTAAAAGCAAGCTAAATATTGTAGGTATTCACAAAACTTCTTTACCATTTCAGCGTGAAGAAAAAAATTAGTCCAGCTGTCATTACGTATAGTATTTGTTACAGCTTTATCCCATCTTTTGGACTGCACATGCTTTTTTGCTATTACATTAATTATTCATAAGTTGTTTGTCAAACCATTTTGAGACAACTTTCAAAGACCAGTCTGCCTACAAACGTCTTGCTCAAAATGGTTCACTATGTCATTTGGTTGATCTCACAAGTCACAGTGTTGTATCCAATCACTGGTTGGATCACTGCAACATTAAGCAGAATAATGATGAGTACTAAGTGGCTATTAATGAATAGCCCATTTCTAGCTCAGATTTTCTGATGGGGAAAAAAAAAAAAAAAAATCACTCATCCAACTTTTGGACACAGTGAACATGTTTGTGAATACCCAGTGGATGTCTGAATTATTCGTTATACTGTGAATATAAATCCCGCAAATCAAAGAGTCCTGAACTGAGCATTTATTTACATAAGTGTTTGTGAATCCATATTTTGGCGGGGGTTTGGGGGGGGGGGGGGGGGGGAAGAGGTGGGGTTGTTACCTGTTATTTGCCAGGTTTACAATCAAAATATATTCCCCACTAAGGATACTACATCTGTTGTAGATCTTGTATTTCAGTGGCACTTACGAGCCTCAGCTAGGGATTAGGGCCTCCATTGTGATTGGCTCATACAACAAAGCATGCCCCAAGAAGGGCAGGTTTACATTCAGACCTTTGCAGACATGTTCCACCAAAATATTTGTGCTTCTTTAAGAGAGTGTATAACTGGTACCGAAATTTAAGAAATACTATTGAAAGTTTACATACTCAGTGGGCACATCTACACATTCATTAATGCACAATAGTTACTGCACGTTTAGTTTAGTACTTGCTTAATGAAGTACTTACTAAAGGTACAGTAATTACAGTTACTGCACAGTAGGCTAATATTACGATGCAGTAGCATATTAACAGTTTTTGCCTGGCTACTGTGCAGTGTTGTTAGGTTACTGGGCATTAAGTGTAGGCATGCCCAGTTTTCTTCTTTTTTAAGAAACTAATCATGGCCTATGTTTGAAAATTACCAAATGTACTGAACATGATGGATGTGAGGAAGCCAATTAGTTATCAAGTCTTCCTAAAGTAAAAATGTTTTTATTTAAAAAAAAAAAAGAAGAAAAACAACGAACATCCCTCTGGTGTAAAGAAAAGGATGATTCTCTCTTTATAGAGTAGAATAAAATATGTCCTAAACAGTTGGATTTCCTATAAAAATATTTTAGAGTAGATTTTATATTTAATTTATTTGTAATGCCTTAACCATTTTGCACTTCCTTCTGGCTCTCAACTTTATTCAAGGTTTCATTTTGTAATTATAATCTTATGCTTTACATTAAAAGGAAATCATTTAGAGCATTTAATTTTACTGATGTTGTCATTATATGTAAAGAGTAAAAAATAAACACATTATTTTAATTACTCTTTAAGTACTCCACATCTTTTGCACACTGGTATTCAAGGAAGCTGATGGATGGGTGCCTGCACCATTGTATTTGTTGCTCACATTTTCTTCCCTTGCTGCAGGATGAATAACCACACAATAGAAAAAATATTGTCCTGGATGCAGTCTTGTTATTTCAACAGCTATTTACGTCAAGTTGCAAGTTAATAATGCTAACAATTGCAGTAAAACTGTGGAAAGTTTCAGCTATGTAAAACCTTTTGTTTTAGGTTTTAGTTGCATTGTTTTCTATTGCTGTTTTTCTTATTCCATAAATACAGCATAAATTGCTTTCCTTCATCCTTTAACAAAGTACATATGCTTCCCCTATAAACTGACTTGCATCATTACAGTAATTTTTATTAGAAAGACAGCAAAACTTTGTTCTCTGCATTCTTTTGGACCGGTCCATCAAATACCACATTGACGAGGCAATAACAATTCAGAAGGCTGTGCTAGAGCAATAACAAAACTATTATACTTACATTTGCACATGTGGGGGCTGAAAACGTCCCTGGTTAATGTTGTAGAACGTGAAAGCCTGTGTGGGGTTTGAGCTGTACTCATCCACTTCTATTATGAGTCGACTGTGCTGATGCCTTCTAGCTGCCATAATGTGCGACTGGGCGAAAGCCATGCTTGCACTGTGTAGCACTGCTCTTTTTCAGAGAATCATATCTGCTATCTTCCTACACCAATGGAAGAAGACCATGTCATCTCCTTACTTAATCAACACAGTCCCCTTTGGAAACCCTAAAAGCAGATTGAAGAGATGGAGCATAACCGTTTGACAGTTAATCTGTTTGGGATTTGCTTTATTTAATGTTAGATGAAGATTTAGGGGGTTGGGGGGGTGGAATTCACAGCTCAAAGAACTCATTACAAACCTTTCCAACTCGGCAATTTGATGAATACACTTCAGTTGGGGGTTGGAGAGAGGGAGGGAAATTTATAACAGAACTCATGGTGCAACACATTCAAATAAAAGACTTTCAAATCCAAATCCAAAATACAGTGTAGGACTTCTGGGAAAAGTTTTCCCAGCATAATTATTTACTTCAGTTTTCCCCTGGTATATTCATGAATGTTGGTATCACATACCCCCGTCAAAAATTTTTAAGTGTTTGCATGCCCAAACACAACTAGAACAGAAGCATATTTCAGTTTGTTTAAAACATGCATCACTTAAGGGTTCCTTTCAGAACCACTGTGGCATTCATCATGAAAGGAATGGGTTGCCAGTATATGCTCCAGGGATACTATGAAACAGGTATGTCAATGGGCCTCCCCACCCACATTTTATGATATTATGCCCATTTGAATAATACATTCTGAAGAACGTCATGGTTTTAGATTAAAGCTTTATACCACAGTATTCCACCTACTGCACATCCTATCCTACTTTCAGGTCATTTAGGCCCAAAATTTAGGGTCCAGTGGAAAAATGTTACAGACCAATAACAATAGAAATGTTATCACTACATTTAAACAGGAAAAATCAATGCAATTTTTTGTGTTTGAGGTCAAATATTCCTTGTTAGAAATTCAACTCAAAACAAGTGAAAGGTAAGAAGAACGGAAAAGTGAACCTGATGGCGTATAACAAAGAGTAACCACTGAAAATAACAGAAAAGAAATTAAGCTTTCCAGTTTAAATAAATGAATGCATTATTAGCAATAACAGTAAATACTGTTTTTAGAATACGATTTTAAATAATTATCATGCAATCCTAGCCCTAACTCTTTAAATTAAAATATTTTAATGTTTTATTGCAAAATACAGACCTTATTTATTTAAAAATAACTCCCAAATACTTTCCTTCAATAGTTTCACCCAAATTTACAAAAATTTAAGTTATTCACCAAAAATGTACAACTTCTGAGTGCACAACTTCTGAGTGCTGCAAGTTTCTTTAAATAAGCTTAACAACCCACCTCACAGTCTTATCCTAATGGGCCACCACTACGCATAACGGCTGGAAAAGGTAGCACAGCCTTCATAATTATTTAGGCCCAGATTTTTAAGAGTATATGGGCAACTAAGGATGTACAGAATTAAATCTGTGGAATATAGAATGTGCTGTAAGAAGTTGCATATTAAGGGTTAATACCATTTCTTCCCTGCACAGCTCTGACTTGTCACTAGAGGGATGGCAAGCAGGGGCAAAGGTAGAAGACAGTATACCTGAGTTCTGTCCCTGCTTGCAAGGAGGGGGTGGGGTGGGTGCAGGTGGCAAAGGTGTATCCTGGGATGTTGGAGGATTGCAGATCGCTTGTTTTATCTCTGTGAAGCAAACTAAAGATACCCTAACATGAGGTAGGTAACCCAGCCCAGAGCTAATCCTCGCCTGAAGGACACTCAAAAGGAACTTAGCACAAGTTTAACAAATTTGCATTTTAAGTACACTTAGTATGTCTTAAATGTAATGTGCAACTTCACCCTTAAGTCCCAATGGGCACGTCTACATGTATGCTGGACTTCACAGTTGTTATTGTGCAGTCCCAGTGTTGCACGAATTGTTTCCGATGCTGTTGCACAGTAACAATAAGCTACTGTGCTGTAGCTCATTGCTACTGCACAGTAGGTTTGGTGTCATGGTTCGTGCCTGCCAATGCTACCTCACTGTAGTGTCATGTGTAGACGTGCCCAACGACTTCAGTGGCAATTAGGAATATTAAATTTCCCAAAAATTCTGGGTTTGTCTTTTGCCTAAATTTTAATACTGCCACCAAGCATCTCAAATGAGGTGCTGGGATATTATTTTGTTTTTTTTTCTTTTTTTTTTTTTTAATGAGTTCTTGTTCTGTATGAGATTGGAATTAAATCTCCAGTTCTTGTCATGTAACTTACTGAACCTGCTGTAATAAAATGACAACTTGCTGTCAGTACCAACAGACAGGACTATAGCTTGAGAATTTAAGAACAGTTTTCCTTCTGCTGTCCACTAGAAATGAGTGGTAAAGATATGGCAGAATAAAGCCAAGAAAATGTTGGGTTTTAAACACTTTCAGATGTTGTGTTCAGGCTACAAAGCATGCAGCACAATGGAAGCATCAAAAAGCAGGGGGAGGGATGGGAAGAATGATCCTTGAAAGAATAATCAAGGATACATTTCTGTATTTAGGAAATAAGAAATTAAAAGGCAGATGTGAGATCCTCCCTTAGGAGCTTTCTGCATAAAATGGTGCATTTTTAAAAAATTCATATGGGCCAATTATAGCAAATGTCAGAGACATCTGCTCTGAGTGACCAGCATACCATTTGGAAGAAACCACTACAAATAGTGTTTGCTGAGAGATACTTTTGGCACAATCAATTATTTGCTATTCAAAATACTTTAAAACATTTCAATACATTTCAAGTTTCAATAGCACCCTTATAAGATATGAAAAAATTATCTCCATTTTACATATGGCTGAACTGAGATTACAGAGAGTTTGAAGCAAGCATTAAGCGGAAGAGCCTAAAGTTCTTAAGTCTATCTATTCTGATATTTCTATACTTAAGCACCTGTTTGATAATGAAGATTACTAAGCACCTATCAGATTCCCAGTTTTATGCTCTCTTTTCTTCCAGCTGGACATGGCCTACCATCTTATATAAGTTTAGCTGCTTTTGGTAGAATCCATTATTATCTGTTCACAAGCAATAAAAGATGTGTGTAAAGCACAGCATTCACTGTAGCAGCATTTTTGTAAGAGAGGAGCTATTGTTTCGATACATGAAAGTGTGTGTGAATCACAACACCAGGCCAGCCTGCAAGGACCCTAGCCAGAGACATACAGTATGATGTTCACCATGTAAACACGCAAAAATTGGAAGCAAGCAGGTCTCTACTGAGAGGAAAAAAGCTTGATGCCATTACACTACTGACCCCTCTACCAAGTGATAGTCATCTCATGTGAGCCTCAGGGATATAAAAACTGTTCAAGGAACGAAAAGGAAAAAGAAAGCCAGATTACTGTAAAAATAGAATAGATTAGTGAACAAGAACAACAAGCACTAAACAGAAATCAGAATAAGGCAACCACAATATACAACTAACTGTCTTAATTCAACAGATGAAGCCAGTATCAGAAACATATACAAATTAATCTTACCGTTTCTCTGTGTTTCTCTTCCTAAGAAATAGCCTGCTAACATCTTTGATGACCGACAGAAATAGCTATCTTCTTCCAGCCTGACTGCTATCCAAACTGATGCCAGTCACTCCCTTCTTTCTATTTTCCTTTCCAAAACTCCATACTTTTTTTTTTAATGATTTGAAATCTCTCCCTCCCCAAAATTAGGGTGTGATATACAATGGGGAATAATTATCTACCATTGTATAAGTTTTTTAAAAATATACCTAGCATTACCAGCATAGAGCATTCAGACTCAAATCCTCACAGCAACAACATGCTAACCACCCGTTTCCCCCAGACTTATGGAGCTGTGGGATGTCTGCCAGTGAAATACAGAGAAATGTAAAAAAGGCTGCAGGAACATGAATACTAAAATAAAAAAATCACAAAGCTGAATGTTAAAATCATAAATGTTAGAGAAAAAACAGCTAATCCATCTTTATACCAGCATATAAATGTTCTCTGCATGTTATTTAGCTTGTGCTCTATCTAGTCTGATTTACCTATCCCCTCCAGAACCTGATACAAAGCTCACTGTATTCAGTGATGATCTTTCCACTTCAATGGATTAAGCCACAAGGCATGGGGATTCCACCACCTCTACAGTGAGAATATTCAATAATGGAACTACTCAGATGCTTGCACTTAGACATGGGTTTTAAGTTGTTCATTGAATGAGGACCTGTACTATATGAAGTTTTCTTGACCATTCAGCCAAAAAAGTCCTTAACTTTACCCCTATACTCTCTTGTAGAGACAGCATACATAATAATCCCACTACACTCTTTGTGTAACTTCTCCTGCCTCTCTCTCTCTCATTCTATTATAAACATAATTTCATTTTAATTTCCTTTCCACATTCCCACTCAGATCCTGGTTTGACTGTTATTCTTTCTCCAATCCCCTGTCTTTTCCTTGTCATCATCACTATACCTTTTTTTTTCATTGTTCACTGTACTCTTATCACCTTCCAGCTACTTCTTGTCTGTCTACAACCACACCCGATATTGAGGCCCTCGTAACTTCCCTAGCATTACTGAAAAAGACCCTAGCTCCAAAACCACAGTGCCTCAATCAACCTATCTAGTATTTAAGATGACAGTTATTACAATTTTGAAAAAGTAGAGAAAAAACTGTGAAGAAGAGATGTGTTCAATAAACCAGAGAAATGCAGGATGGCTACAGAATTTGAGAGGAACAGTTGCAACTCTCATACCAACAAGAGTGAGACAATGTAGAGAGTCAGTACTAAATGAGGGCCAGGCTGCACTTCCTGAGTTATTGTCTCAGGCACAGAAGCAAGTTCCTTTAGATAAGAAAGTAGAGTCCTTATTTAAAAAGGAAACAAAGCAATGCCATAGAATATTCTACAATAACATCTCTAAGCAAAGCTATAACTTTTGGATCAATCACCACAAAGTACTCTAGTATGAGTAGATTTCTATGTAAAGGAAGGGTTGATGAAGGTGCTTCAGCAATAGGACACTAGTTGCTTTGGTAAAGCAACTTAATTACAGAACTGAATGCTCTAATAGGTTCTCTCTCCCTGACTGATATGGTTTACCTAGTCCACATGATCAAGATCATTTTTCTACCTTCCGGGTGCACCTACACGAGATGTTTATTGCAGTTGCCTAATTAGCTCCACAGTAAAGCATCACCCTCCACACAAGCGTTGCTATTAGGCCAGAGTAAACAAACTAACTCCACAGTAGGATCATACAGCCCAGCACAAGTACTATTTTATGGTGGAGTTATTTACTCTGCCGCAACACACATGTAGACTGTGACCTGGGCTGGCTGGGGCCCCCCAAGGTACTACAGTCAGGGCTGCTTAGCTAGCTCCCACTGTAGCACTCTCATGCCCAACCAGCCCCTCTGCAGCACCTTGAGTCAGGCAGAAGCAGCCTCACCCTCTAGGCCTTCTGTCAACCAGGGCTGCCCCACCCTGGCTCGATATGCTGTGGCCCGGACACATGTGTAAATACCACACCTGGGAGCAATAAACTCTGGTGCGAACTGTGCTGGAGTTTATTGAATTAATTTCATGTATTCAACAGCCTGTTTTTGTAACTGCACGATGAACAAAATAATTCTGGAAAAGGTGTTCTTCTATATGAGTGAATACGCTGGGCAAATTTGTTTGCAACAACAACAAACTTTTGAAAGATGCTCTTTTTTCTTTTTTTTATTTGCCAAGATAAATACAAGAAAAAATGCTAACTAATCATGACCAGTCTCTCCTCTTTGGCAGATTGATTTTACCTGACAATGAGCAGTCCAAAAGCTCTCAACCATTTACCAGCTTAAAAACAAAGTTAGCATGATTAACTGGCATTTAGACATTTGTAGCTGTTGAGGTCCATCTAGTACATACAAATATTGATAGGACCATTAGGCTTCAAATGTTTCCTTTTGGCTATTACAGTTTGTTGTATAAATGCATATTTAGGGAACTTTTTGAATTGCACTTTTTTTTTTTTAAACAGAAACTGATGTATAGCATTGAAATATGCACTTAGAAGTCCACACTTACCATTGTGAATGCTTTATGTACCTGCCATTAGTGTCAATGGGAGTTAAACAAGAGAGTTGAAAAGAGAACAGATTCCTTGGGGATGTTTAAGTTATAATCTATAGTGTCATTTGAGGTGTTTATCCCCCTCACTAACTCTCCAAAGACTTTTACATTATGAATTCATGATCTTAGAATCCTATTAAGAAAGCTAACCCCATTTCAGTTATAGAAGCAGTAAAACATCAAAAACCATTAACTTTTAAAATGGCAGTTCAGGGTTGGTGAAACAGATGAGACAGAAATTGAAGTTCTCTATCCATAGATCACACATAACACATTAGTAGCTTTGGACTGCCTTTCTGCCTCAAATCCTGTTCTGGGAAGACCATTTCAGTGAGAAAGATAATTTAGACCCAATGTCCATTCACACCATGGCGTCTGTGTTTGTAACGGTAGCTAATTACCATATTTACTCAAATATAAAATGACCCTGAATATAAGAAAACCTGTCAATAATTAGATTCTATATCTAGAAAAATTCTAAATGTTATAATTTCCCAGATATAGAATCCAATTTTTGGAGGTCTGCCTTGAATCTGTCCTCCTCCCACTGCTATAGCAGGGAAGATAAATCTGGGGGGGGCAGGTGACCCCCCCTGGCCTTCTGCCCCACCCAACATCTTCCCCTTGCAGCCCCTCACCCCCCTTGTCAGGCCCTGCTTTCCCTGCTCACAACTGGAACTGCGTGTTCTTGCCAAATGCCCTAGGATCCTCCAAAAATTTAAATGCAGATGACATGCAGTAGAATCTGGTCCAGCTCCAACGCATGGACAGCAGGGCCACACAAACCATATGCAAGAGGCTGAGAGAGGGAGCAACAGAAGGATTCTCAGAGAACTGTTAAGGGCCCTGTTTGGTGATGTTTGCCAGGTGTTTAAGACTGATGAAAAAACAGGAATCATTGGAAATGGGAAAAAAGGCACAGTTCAGCTGTGGGAGTGAAGAGGTAGTTAAAATGTAGTCAATGTAGTGGCTCACCATGACTTGAAAAAGGGGGTGTACCCGCCTCCATTCGACCAGGAGTTCACGCGCCACCTTCGCCCGGGCGCAAGATCTCGCGCACCCGGACTTTGCTAGTATGCCCCGGAGTTTACCCCGTCTGGTATCAAGGGGGACCCCAGAACTCGCCTGCCACGACTTTGATGACGCCTTCAGTGGGGGGTCTTCCCTTGGGGTATCCCC